GGGAGGCATCCCTATAAGTAAAGGGGCAAGGGTTTATCAAGAAATTAAAAATACTAAAAAGGGCTTGGGGATTATGGCAGTTAGACCTAATAATACCAGAGAAGAAGGTAGATTTAGCAGCATGTCCAGCGAGACATGGAGTTTATCTTTTTTCCATTTTTGCTCAGTGTGCCGGCATTCACACCTAAGGGCGCGGGTAGTGTCATTAAGCCAGGGTTGGCGTAACAATTTGGCACATTTTGTCCTCAGAGGTGCCACCGAATTAAGAATGTCGGCGCATCTAGTATTAAAAAGGTTGGTAAGTTCCTCCGCTGATAAATCCGCAATACCATTAACATCAGAAAGAGGGGAATCAAAAAAAGCAGCAGTGAAATGAGCAATTGACTGAGAGCTCATCTAGCGTGTTTGCCGTAGAGAACCATCACTATACAAATCAACATTGTTAATAACAGTATTAAACAAAATGGTCCGAAATCCTGAGGTTCTCCCAATTTAAAGCGATCACCGATCGGAGAAAAGAAAAGGATAATGTTTAATCGTTTCCCATACAACTTTATCCGTGATGTCCGTGATGCAGATATCCAAACCATTTGACAGTACCAAGTTGAGTGTGTGACCTTTTGTGTGAGTTGGATCACTTACCCACTGGGTGAGATTAAACGAATTAATAAGAGTAAGGAAGTCTTTGACTAGTGAGTCGTCTTTGCAACAAACATGAATGTTAATATCGCCAACAATTAAAATACGATCATAGCATAAGACAACACTCCCCAGTAAGTCAGCAAATTCAGAAATAAAATCCTTAACAAATTTCGGGGGGCAATACACCAAAGCACAAAGAAATGAAGGGATGCGGTTCAGTTCCAATAACTGCACCTCGAAGCTGGGGTACAGAACAGATGACAGCTGCCGACATCGAAATTTGTTTTTAAAAACTGAAGCTAGCCCTCCACCTCTGCCAATGGTCCGGGGTGAGCTCAGAACAGTGAAATTGGGTGGAAGCAGTTCTGAGAATGAAACTTGGCTTCACCAGGGCGAAGCCAAGTATCAGTCAAGAATAACAAGTCATGTCCGGATGAGCGAATAAAATCATTTAAGACAAAAGTCTTATTAGCCAGTGACCTCATGTTTAACAAGGCCATCTGAAGAGTGGTCACACTGTTGCTGGTGCTCCCCCACCCCAGGG